CCTTGATCAGTTTTACCCGATTTTCTATGCTATTTTTTATGCTGGTACTATATTATTCTATAGGATGGCTTAACTGAAATGTTTAGAAGTCATAACTGTATATCTGCCTTGGTTTTGATTTTGCTGAGGATAACAAGCTTGTGCATAGGAGGTATCGCAATCCCAAAACCTACTTTCAACCAAGATTATTCGCCTTCCTCATACTTGTTGAATGCTACAGACAATTGATTTTTTCTTAAAGTGCTTACAAGCTCTAGCTATTGTAGGACTTGTCTATTTACCACAATAATCTCACTGGTTAAATTTGCGCTCAGAGCAAAGTGACCCACATAGCCAAAGCGGAGACCAAGAGTTTACTTTTGCTCACTTGTCCATTGCAGGATATCCCCCCATGCCCTGCCACACATCGCTTAAAAAGCATCATGCTAAGTTTCCCAAATAGTATGCTGATATATCTAATATGGAGTTAAGAGGGAGGTACTCGATCAGAGAGTACATGTAGAAGGGTGTTGTCTGAGAGACTGCAGTGAACAGTCTAACCAGAGCTGCTTGCGAACCATTATGCCTCTGCGATAGTCTCACTGAATATATGTTCATTATTTTTGCTTTGTTTCAACCTGCTGCCTTTATACATGATGTCAAGAATAATACCATTTAGACACCACTGACTGTTGGATCATTAATTTAACCACAGGATTGTCAAGACAAATTCTCACTCACATGAACTTCTTCAGCTCTTTCAAGCCAGAAGGTGGCAGGCTGTTCAGTCTTGACATCATGATCCTTTATGAGAAGGCAATTAAACAATGTCACACAGAGTAATTTTAGCATTAAAGGAGGGAGGCTAGGGCCCGGGGAGTGGGAAGGAGGACTTCTGTATAAACAAGAAGGGGCTTTGAAGTCAGAAATTTTGAAAAGAACTCCTGAGAGGTACTAAGATCCTGTTTTGTTTTTTACTTTTTCGGCTCAATACCCTAAAAGGTAATGCAAAAGCTTCCGCTGTGGACCTTTTGACGTTAAACACCCTAAGAGGTACTAAAACCACATTTTTGGTCCCTAATAGGTACAACAAGCACCCCAGTCACTTTTTATGGCAGTCCCCCTAGGGGAGCTAGGGGGTCTGAAGTACCACAATCTAATGTTCCCCCCATTTATATATCAAACAGATTTAAAAATAATGTATTCATTTTCACGCAATGCTGTAACAAAAGCAGTTCTAAATGATTTTGCTCTCATGTGTGATCTAGTGCAACAAGCCCAGGGGGGTACTTTGGGAATTTCTGTTTGGGGATATGCTGCTGGGACCCTGTAACCCTTATGCCAGACCAGAGCTAGTTCAGCTGAATTTTGCTACCCAGTATACTAGAGTAAACTTGCCAAATCCCCCCATCTATCGACACTGTTGAGGCTGTTTTGCGTAAATTTAAACTTGCCGATTTGATTTTTTTGTATTTTTGAGTGACAATTCCTGGTTTCCTTAGTCTAGATA